TCCTTTTCGGATGGCCATCGCAGCAAGAGGCTCGCAGCAGCTCATCCCCACACAGGAGGGCTGAGCGACACCTCCCCTTCTCCCTGTACCCCTCCAAAGCAAAACCAGCCCCACCAAAACCTTACCTTGGCTTTGTGCCGCCTCTCCCAGGTCTGCGTGGGAGCAGGAGAGCAGAGAGAGCATCCTCGTCACGGCGGGAGGATGGAGCCCCTCCGTGCCCCTGCCCAGCCCTTTATCCCCAGAGCTTTGCTTCTTCCTCGCCCGGATGCTCAAGTTCAAGGTAGAAAATGGAAACCCCTCCGGCTGGTGGCTCCAGCCCCTGGGGCACCCACGGAGGCAATGGGACCCGGCGGCCGGGGCGATGCTCGGGGCCTGGGGAAGGTGGGTCTGGCTTCCCCAGCCGCCCACCACCGCCGTTTCCAGCCCGGTGGGGTTTTTTTCTCTCTTTCAGTTTGCTCCTCACCCCTTCCTGCACCGCGGGTCTCGCTCGATCTTCCTTCCTGTCAGCGTAGGGCGGCTGCCTATGCAAATCGATGTGACTTATCTGCTGAAAAAACAGCGTTGTAACTGCCCATAGCCTGTGCGACCCCCCGACAGCGGCGGTGCGGAGCCTGTCCCGGTGGGATGCTCAGTGCATGGCGAATTCCCCAGCCACGGCTGCTTTCTCCTGGAAAGAGCCACAAAACCAGGCTGAGCAATGTCCAAATTTACACCGAATTCCCTCGAAGCAAAACCACGAGCTCCCCCTGGCCTGGGAGAGCCAAGGGGTTTTGCTACATAACCCCCTCACTAGCCGGGAACGCCGGGGAGATCTCGTGAAGGAGCTGCAGCAGCTCTACCCTTTGCTGAGCCATGCACGGCAACACTTCCACGAGTAAATTCAAGTTGTGTCTTCAAATAAAGGGGCAGGAATAAACTCCCCTTCCTCCAAAGCCATTTTTCTGCCAATGCTGAATGTTTTCTGGAATTGTGAGTTTATCATCCCCAACGAGGTGGATCGCAGGGCACCGGGAGCGCTGCATCCACACCCGAGGAGCCAGAGCCACCGGCAGCAGCGGGACCGGCAGGATCTCCCCCCCCCAGCTCTGCGCAGGCAAGTGGGGGTGATCATTATTTTGCATTTTTCTTCTACAAAACCTTTAATTTGTAAATCCTGTAACAGGTTTTGCTGGCGTTTAGGCAAACCCTATTAATTCTGAGATACTGAGGAGAGAAGGCGGGCAGGGTGGCGCTGGGACCCACGGCAAATAACTCTGCTTTCCGTGACTCCTGGGGCAGAGCGGCAGAGCCCAGGGAAGCGGGGACGGAAGCGCATCTCACCAAATAATGAGTTCATCACGGTGCCATGTTTGTTCCCAGTGGCTCATGTTTTGTGCCAAAAGCTCCCGCTGCCGGGGTGGTTTGGGAGAGCTCGGAGGAAGCAGAAGTCAGTGATGGATACAGAAGAAAACGGCACGTCCTGTTGCAAGACCTGTCCTGGTGGGGTCTAGCAGGTAGCTCCAATGAAGCTGCAGCTAAATCTGTAATTACACGTCTTTTCCTTCGTCAAGTCCAGCTGAGAGGCTGATGGTGATGGTGGTGGCGATGGTGGTGGTGATGGTGGCGGCGGAGGGGATGGTGGACACGATGGCGGAGGCGATGGTGGACGTGATGGTGGATGTGATGGCAGATGCGATGGTGGAGGCGATGGCGGCCGATGGAGCTCTCACGGTTGGAGAGGTGGTGGGGGACGGGGTGGGCTCACATCCAGATCATCTGCACATGGTGAAGTGTGTTTGGGGAGGAGAGGTGGGGGCCAAGCAGGAGTTTGGACCTCCAGCCACCGCGCTGGGCTTTGTCTCCCAGGGATTGCTCTCTGCCCGTCCTAGGGCTGCACCTGGTAAGGGGTTAAAACCTTCCCTGCCCCCAGGGTTAGGTCTGTTGGTGATTTCCTACCCCGGCAGGAGGCTGGTTTCAAGAGGAGATGACATCTGGGAAGTCCCATCAGCTATCACCTTCCCGATAAGCTGTAGCTAAAGATCCCTCGCATCAAAAATGACCGCGCAGAAGCCCCAGCGGGGGCTGTACCTCCTGCTTTCACAATTACTCATTTCTGTTAATTAATGCATCTGAATTTTTTATTCGCAAAAGCACATAACACGTCCCTCGTGTATTTTCCAGGCTGTTGACTTGACTCAACCCCAAATTTCCCAACGTGGTTACCGAGTTCAACCCGCGGAGTTCCCGGCGGGATGGGTTTCGCCCATCCCAGCTCGGTGTCCCCAACCGGCCCCATGGAGCTCGTCAGGCGCCGCAGAACGCGCCGGCGCGGTCAGAGAAGCCCCAGCGAGGCCTCTGCGTATTTTGGCTGGCCCGGGTCGCTTGGCAAGGGGGCATCGGGGACCCTGCCCCGAGCCCAGCGCCCAAGGCACTCGCTGGGGGTAAGGACTGGTCCCGTCCCCGGAGGGCGCAGGGGGATGCTCGGTGGGAGCGGCCGCGTTTCCCCACCAAGGAGACGGGCAACGCCGCGTTACCGGGGGACCCGCGACCCTCCCGCTGCTGCAGCGCGGGGTGCACACGCCTCGGGGCGCCTCCGGTCCCCGGGGCGGAACGGGTCCCGCCCCAACGACCTCCCGGGGCGGGGGGAGCTGCTCCCAGATTTTAAGCGGACTGAGGACGGAGCAGGCGGCGGGGCCGATGGACGGGGCGGGACGGGACCGGACGCGCCTCGCTCCCCGCGGGCAGCCGCGTGGCCTCCCCGCCGGCGGGGGTGGGCGGGGCCGGGGGAGGGACGGACGGACGGACGGCCGGACGGACGGACAAGTGAGGCCCGCCCGGCCGGACACAGCCGAGCGGGGTCGGGTAGACGAGAGCAGCGCCGAACATAGCCGAAGAGAATCGGGTCCAGCCGAGCCCAGCCGATTCGAACCGAACAGAGCCGAACCGAGGTGAGGAGGCACGCGACGCCGCCCCGTTCTTCCCCCTCCGGTGCCCGGGGAAGCCCGCCCTAACGGGGCCGGGCCCGGGGCTGAGCCGCGGCCTCGGCGGGCCCGCACGGCGGTGCGACCTCTCTGCTTCTCGCCCTGGCAGAGCCCCGGCCCCGCCGGCGTTGCCTCATGGCCGGGAAGAAACCGATCGTGGTGGTCGGGGCGACCGGTGAGTGCTCGGGGCTAGGCCCGGGCCCTGCCCGGGGGGGCTGCCGCGGCTCCTCTGGCCCGGGCCGGTGGGAAGGGCGAGGGTTGGGCCGTGCCCCAGCGACCTGCCCTGCTGCTGCCGAGGGGGAGAGGGTCTTCGGGTGCCCGCGGACGGCAGGGGCAGCGGGAACTCCCCGAGCACCCGGGCTCTGGGGCCCCGTGGGGGTCGGGAAAGCCCCTGCCTGGCTGGAGCAGCAGCCGGGGAGCTGGGGGCTGGCAGGAGGGTGGGTTGAAGGGGCTTGGTCCCTGTGTGGCAGGGAGAGCGTGTGCTCGAGCAGTTCCAGCTCGTCCCAGCTCGCTCTGTGAGCTGGGCCCAGTGGGAAGCTGGGGCTCTGAACGGGTCGGCACCTGCAGGGGTCTGGGGGGGCTACAAGGCCCGGGCTCTGCTAGAAGATGGGATCTTGCAGGTCCACGCAAGGAGCCCCGTGAAGGAGTTGGAGGAGCTGAAGCAGAGGGGAGCTGAGGTTGTGAAGTTGGATCAAGACGATGAGCCATCCCTGGAGCTGGCCGTGGAGGGTGCTTACAGAGCCTTTGTTGTAAGCAACTTCTGGGAGCACTGCAGCAAGGATAAAGAAGTCGCACAGGTACCAGCACTTGCTTTAACTCGGACCACGTGTGGAGTGGCCTGGGAGGGTGGGTAGAGGGACAGCTGTGTGGCATTGGCGTGGGTCATGGGACAGCTGATGGTTCCAGCATCCAGCCCAGAAAAGTCCCAAGGCCTCGCAAACAAACCAGCTCCCAGTTCTTGCAAATCCAGAACTTGTTCCCTTGCAGTCAGGTGGCTCCAGGACCTGGTGCCTTCAGGGAGTGCTTAAGTGCCTGGAGACTTGGCATGGCAGAGAGCGCTGCCCAGGAGTCAGAGTAGGAGGAGTGGGAAGACTCGGCTCCATGGACCCTTCCTAGGGCTGAGCCAGGACTGTCACTGCTTGCAGTCCTGTAGTTCTTTGCACTTCCAGCTTTGGGGCCAAAATGTGCTCTGGTGTCAGAAATCCCAGGGCCTTCCCCAAGGGCGGTGTTCACCCCAGGACAGATTTTGCAAGGTGAAAGGATTGCCCTGCCTGGATGGCAGCAAACAAAAGATACGTTAGGGCAGGTATGTTGGCCCTGGGAGATCTTTAGGGCTGGTGTTTGTGTGCTTGGTGGAGGAGCTACTGACAAAGCTGGAGGATGTGTAGCCTTTCTAATGTAGGATGGTGTAAGCAGAGGACTCTGTTCCACCTGGGCAACTCACAGGGCTCGCTGGGTCTGCTCAGCCCTGGTTCCAGCTGAGGGCTCGGGGTGCCAGATGCTGAGGAGCTTGCTCAGCTGGCATGTGTTGGATCCTGCTCTCCTGCCCAGCACAACAAGGGGGAAGGGGGTTGTGTGGGAATGGTGAGAGCCCCTGCATGTCCCAACAGAGCCAGTCCACTCTTCATGGCTGGCTTCACCCTTCCCCCAGGGGAAGCAGCTTGCTGACCTGTCAAAGGGCCTCGGTCTGTGCCACGTCCTGCAGAGCAGCCCAGAGAACATGAGGCAGCTGACAGGCCCAGCTGGAGGTGCTCCACTCCGAGAGCAACAGCATGGTGGAGGAATGCTTCCAGGAAGTTGGTGTTCCCACCGTGACCATCTGACTGCCATTCTACTTTGAGGACTTCATCTTTAAACCGCAGAAGGTCCTGTGGGGGTAACCTTTGTCCTGGGTAAGACAGCGCCTCTTGCTTTCTAGGTCACCATCCTGTAGTTCTCATCTGCTCCCACTGTGCAGAGGCTCACTGAGGGGCGGTGAAACCACCAGGGCTGCAGACTGATGGGGAAGAGAGGCCTGTGCCACCCTGACCACAGCAAGTTGCAGCTGCATCGGTGGGTGGCAGACAACAGGGCCGCCTTCTGACCCTTCTCTGCCTCCTCTGGCCGAGGTGAGTGGCACTGAGCTGCGCTGCCTTTGCACCAGCACCCTGGTGAAAGGCTGACCCTGCCAGAGCCTTGGTCCATGCGCACGCTCCAGGGCTCTCTGTGACAGGGTTGGGACTGTTGAGACAGAGGAAGGGTTGTACAGCCACAGGCAGACAGGCAGGAGAAGCGCTGCCCTTGCACGCTATCTTCAGGGATGTGTTTGTTTAGTGACTCTGGGTGTTTTCCCAGGATCACCCTCTTTCCTAGGCAGCTCTGAGCAATGCAGCACCACTTGGCCCCAAAGGGCAGTGCTTTCTCTGCAGGTACCACAGCCTGCCCACAACTGGTGCAGGCTCCTGGAGCTAATTTCCATCACCACCCCTGTGAGTCAAGTAAAACCTTGCAAGACTGCCCAACCTTAGGATTTAAGACTCACTTAACAATTTCTTTCCCCCCCCTCCCGCCACCAGCTCTGGGATTTGGCAGTCCTTGCCCAGGCCTAAAGCCGATTGCAGCCACCAGAGAGCTGCTCAAGCCCTCTAGCCCTGCCCTCTCCTTGTCTGAGAGCAGACCGTCGTTCCTGTTTCTGGGGGAGGGAAAGGGGGTGACAGAGAAGGTTGGAAGAGTAGACGAGGCAGCAAGGCACAGCACATGTTAAATATCTTTATGAAGTCAATCTTATTTACATGGATACAGGATCACTTTACAGACAGTTTAATCAGGAGGCAACGCGTGCTTTATTTCAGCAAATTAAGAAGGGCAAGACGACGACATGTCCTTGTTTAACTGGTCGATTAGTATGTGGGCTGATGGTACCTGCACGGTAAAACTAACAACAGCAGGCTACAGTAACCATGAAAATACTCACTGCAAGAGCTCGACTCCACCTGGAAGGAGCGATCCACTTCACTTGTATTCTCACACATGTAGGAACAATGACTCTTTGACCAATCATTGATGCTATGGGTGTTGCACTAATGTAATAAAAGACTTTATCCCAAACTGGCAAAGGGCTTGGTGATAAACTTGTACCCATTCAGAAGCGACAGCATTTGTGTTGTAATTTAGGTTATTGGCAGGGGGAGGGAAACCTGAGGCAAAGTGCAGATTCCATCACTGCGCTCTCTGCAGGAAATCAGCAGGACTAAGAAACCCCAGGGCTGCTGGGGGAGCCAGGGCAGCTGGGCTCTGACGAGTCCCAGCCACAGGGAGGCTTCCCGCTTGGAGGTGTGCGGGACAGTGAGGAGGGCTGTCGTGAAGACAGGGTTAAAATTCACTGACCCACCGAGTCTCCCAGGAGAAAATAAGCAGTGATAAGTGCACCGAGCACATCTAGCATTCAGAAGGGCACCAGAGTGAGCAGCAGCCATCTTGGGCTCCACACAGCAAACTGCTCCACTCTGCGCTGGAAAAGAGAATTTTTATTTCACATTCCCACTGTTTTGCATTCTAAATAATATTTCAACTTTAATTTTTACCAAAAAGGCTTCCAGCAGCAGTAGGGACTGTGGAGCAACCTCGCGAGAGAGCTGCGTTTCTGCAAAGCTGGCGTTTTCCTTCATTACCATTTCCTAGGACGGTGGGTGGGTTTGTTATCGTGATGACTGTTGATGCCTCCGTGGTTTCTAGCCTCTCCAGCTGGGATTCTCACTGTGCTGCTGACTGACATCCTTCGCTCTCCAGAGCCCGCTGCCAGAAAGATTCATCCCCGACTGCAAAGATGATCTGCTGCTGCTGGCTCTTAGTTTCCAGTAGAACGTTTCCCTGCAGTTGAAGCAAGAGAAGCAGCTTAGCATTTCCCAATGGAATCAGCCTAAGGCACGCAGAACAGACGGATTTGAAGCCTGCGGTGACAGGAGGCTGAGCCCTTGGAATCCAAGACACCAGTGCCTGCCATGGATGAGTTCAGGTCTGCAGCACCTCCCTCACAGCAGGCCAACACCAACTAAATGGCACCCTGAGTTATAACACCGTACTCGTTTGTGTGGCACGGGCTTTGCTGCGCTTTATGACAAAGACCGATTCCTTCCTGGTGCTGTACGCCCACGGTAGGAGTGAGTCCAGCCTGAGCGTACCGGCACCGGAGGCTCTGCAGGCCCACCTGCGCCTCCCGGCAAGCCTGGGCACCCTGGGTGCTTTGAATCAGGTACAGCCATGGAGTAGACAAGGAAACAGAGCTGCAGGGGAGGCCAGCGACCGCCCTGAAGACGTACCCAGCATTTTTGCTGCTTTTTGCTGCAGCAAACATGCAATTTAGTCCCTGTCTTTTTGCTCCAGGTCACAGGGGACAGCTAGGGCTTTTCACACCAGTGGCTGGAAGGCCTGAGGCTAAGTGAGAAGCAAGGCTGTGCTTTTGCTGCTTCTACCTCCCAAGAAGCGCAAATTCTGCTTAGTACGGGGGAAGGACGACAATAAAACACAAGAGGCCGCCTACCTCGGATGGGATGTCAGGAGCTAAACATTTTCTTAAGTTTGGAAAGGAATCCCTCCTTGTTCTCCTCAGCCTCAGGCCTATCCCCGCCTGCGTCAGCGCTAGCCGTGGCCCTGCCACCTGGACACAAACAGCAAAGGGCTGCAGTCAGATAGATCTCCCACCAGTAGCCAGCACCCCTGATGGAGCGAGAGGGTTATTTTAGAGGGGGAATGGTCAAGTTGAGGCAGCTGGTTTTGCCTGCACCCTCACATACAGGGCTGAACCTGGCAGTGAGCCACAGCACTGGACCACTTGCAGGGAAAGCACTGGAGAGCCCGGACCCCAGAAGCACAGAAGATGACCATGAGCCCAGGTAACACCGTTCCCTTCCCCTCTTCCTGGCCCTCCAAAAGGCAAGGGAATTCTCATGCTGCACAATCAAGTCAAGGACCCCGCAGGCTTTGGAAACAAGCACCTGGAGTTGAGAGTCTGCTGCTAAAACCGAGTCGTCAGCTTGACCACTGCCAACCATGACTGCACAGAATACCAAAAGCTAGAGTGGTGGTCCCTGGAACGCCCCATGTTCCTGTCACGGTCACGTCAAGACCCTTTAGAGCAAAGCGGTGCGAAACCCTACCAGGAGCCTGCCTCAAGTAATCATCTTGCAATGCTCAGACAAACAGTATCGAGGAGAAAATGAACTCAGGCTAGAATGAAGAAGGCTACAAGTATTTTGGAATAAGAGTCCAGCCAGGAATCTTTCTGGCAGCAGCGAACATCATTTTCCTATATAAACAGGTCCTGAGAAGTTGTTTCTCTCTCTGAGAAGTGGCTACAGCAAAAACAAAGGAGACCTCTTTGCTGATCTGCTTTTTCTACAGAAAAAACTGCCAATAATGAGGCCCCCAAGCTTTCTTTGCACACAGAGAACACAAAGTCCAGTCCTCCCCATCCTCCCACAGCCGACTGCCGAGCTCAGACTGATGCAATGGTATGAAATACCGAGGCCTGCGGCAGAACACACCTCCATCCACTTGGGGTGTTTCTGCTTCCCAGAGCAAGGACACACTTTCAGCAACAGCCTGTCTCTACACTGCAAGCTACTGGTGTGGTTTTTAACCCACCTTGCTGCTTAATTGTGGTAAAAATTGGCAGGTTTGCTTTTTAAAAAATTAAGCTGGGAGAGCATTTTTTTCCTTTGGCACATAAACGTCTTTAAGAAGCTGGAATGAAAGTTTTGTGCTTAGAGATCTCTCCCCTTCGCCCCAAGGCTGACCTTAAATGCTTACCCTCAGCGGAAAAGACGTAATTTCTGTGTTATGAAAGCACTATAAAACTTAACTCTGGTTAAGTATTTGGCAGGTGCTGCCTTCCAATATCCTGAATTTCAGACCATGTTCCTCAGGCTTTGGTGTATGTAAGTAGAGAGGACCTGAGTTCCTGGGATCATTTAGCAGCTTTGAAAGACTCTCACCTTTGCCTAGCTGTATGCAGTCATAAATGCCTTTTTCTTGTTCAAACACAGAAAGAAATCACAATCCAGCCAGATTTAAGTTCACTGTTCCAATGTAAGCAAAGAAAAAAAAATTGCTTCCCAGTCACGCAAGACAAAGCTCTTGTCTTACTGTTCTACCATGTTTTTTCTTCAGCTGCTAGTGCTGCCAGGTACTTCACCACTGAAACTTAAGACTGCATAATTGCTGGATCAAAACTTTAAATCTGGAGCTGAAAGAGCAGCTTTACAAAGCTCCCCGCTGGCTTCTCTCCCTCCATCACGCTGGACACTCCCATCTACTGCCTGGAGCCACTGATGAACGTTTCTACCCAAGATTGCCCCACGTGCATGGAGTACGGCTTAGAGCAATCCTGACAGCAGGGTTGTCCCAACCCTTCAGCTTCCAAGGAGGAACATCCCCACTGCAGTCAGAAGCGCAGCTCGTTAGCTCACGCAGAAAACTGGCCTGCAACATGTTCTCTTTTTCTACCTCTACCACTAAGACAAGTTACGTCTGGCACAGGGGCAGAGGAGGGAGCAGAAGGCTTTCATCACCACAGCAAGACTCACCACAACTTGTCAGGGCCCTGGAGTATCGCTATTCACGCACAGATTTGCCCAGTAAGTATTAAGAGGAAAGCTTTCTGGGAAGAGGCTACCTCCTTACTTCGTGCCACAGCCCATTAACAGCACACTAAACCTATTTCCAATACAACGTGCTCGGTAGGTTGTGCTGACGTGCTGTCTCAAGGTGACCCAGGCTCACCTTCCTCCCCAGGAAGCAGTCTGCTCCCACGCCAACTCCACGAGGAAGGAGCGCTAATTCCCACTGCTTACCTGATGCGGTGTTTGTGACTCCGTTCACCGTACCATCCACATCTGCCTCATCCTCGGCATAGCTCATCATTAAGGCTCTCTGGCGATCTGTCAGCCTCCTGCAGGTCGAAGACAGATGTTGGTTACGGCTGTCTTTAGGGACAGATGTATCTACGGACCTCCCTGACCTCCTCCAGCAGCATGCACAAGAGGCAGCTACTGGAAGAACAAGATTAATACGCCTGGCACACACTGTGAGTCCCTACGGTGTTCTTAAAATGAACAATCTATAAAGAATAAGCCTCGGTGGAAGAGAAGAGGTATGACCCACTGCATTTCACCAAACTGAGTGGAAAAAACAAAGTAAAAGTGCTAAGAACCATGTGGAGCTGCAACAGAACATGCATCTGGAAGGGAGACCTCGGGAAATTCACTCCCTTGCCAAGTGCAGCAATACAGGGTAAAAAGTTTCCTTCACCACAGGAGCAGAGGGTGGCCCAGCAGCCTGCAAAGCAGCTGCCAAGGCCTTTGGTTCCTTTAAGCTGTAGGTGTGAGAGCACAGACTCGTTACAAGCCGGAACGCTGAATTTACGTAACCAGGATCCAGACAGAATCGCAGATAGCTGGGCAAATGTGCAGGTGAAGAACTACTTACACATTTCCAGGGTTTAGGGGTTTTAGAGCTGGGTTGCCAAATAGTGGTATTTTAAAAAAAAAAAAGTCTACCTCACATCATAATTAAAAGCAGAGTGAGAAATTAATGATCTTGATAGATTTTGTGAAAATTCCTTACTGCTTTTTCTGAATATTTTTTTGCAAACGTTCAAGTTTTCAGGGAAACTTGCATTAGCTCTACTTACTGAGGAACTTTTATCTTTATGTGAATGTAGTGGTCTCCGTAGCCGTAGCTGTTAACCTTGGGAATGCCTTTCCCGCTCATTCGAATTCTCTGGTCTGGCTGAATACCAGGGGGTATCTATGAACACAGAGGGGTGACGTTTATTTCTCTAGTTTAGCCATTTATATAGTAATTACATTACACATCTACATTAACTACTTCTCCAGCAAGCTTCAGAGTAGGATGGGAGAGATCTGGTACGTTCATGTATCTGGGCACATTTAGAAGCTTTTGAAGGAAGAACCTTGCACAGTCTGGAGACCCTGGATGCGATTTGTCCAGCAACCCACCCGACCCTTCCTTTCCCCACCCCTACACAGCAAGAGGGAAGGAGGTGTGACAAAGCAGGTCACAAACTGCCTGAAGAAGCCTGAAACTCAATACCAGCAGGCTCAGATTTGCCCCACCTTTGCAGCAAAGGAGAAGTCTCTGCTGTCCCCCATCGATTTATGCTCAGGCTCTTCCACATAAAGGTACTCACTGTGATATTGATTGTCTCGTACAAGCCTTGGCATCTGGCTGTGCCTCCCAGAACAGCCTGTGCTATTGAAATAAGGAGGTCTGAATGGATATCTGCTCCGTTTCTTCTGAACACAGAACTTTTTTGAACCTAAAAGGCAGGCAGTTCCAAAGAGAAGTGAGCACAACACCATGAAGATCTCACGGTAAACTGCTTTGAAAGTTCTCAGAAGAAAACATACCAGAATGCTGTAGTCAGACCCTTTACCATCCACAAACTACACAGCTCAGAAGCCTAAGTTCATGTTCAGTTTTTTAGAAAAACGCAGATCTTGACATAATCGTAATTAGCCAGAGGCGTAGGAGGATGCCTGCTTCCTATCTCAGCAACTCCCTCCCCTAGCCCTGTTAATTTATCAGTGTTGGTATGATTCTGCGGAGGCAGAGGAGATGCTGCCTTGTCAGGTACCCTGAACTTCTGGAAAGCCAGAAGAGGGAGGCAAGCACCTTTGCAGTGGCCTCACAAGCTGGAAGAGAATTAAATCCTCCTGCACCACAAAAAAAGATGCTGGAAAAAAGTTTTCTCCTCGACAAAGATGCCTATGATGGGATACCTACAGGAGAAGAGGGCCGCAGCTACAAACCACGTGCAGAGCGGCACTTTACGTCGATCTGCAAGAGGAGCCTTGACCAGCCAGCCTCTCGCGGGCGTTCCCACAGCCCTCCTCAGCTCTCCCACCACCAGCCAGCTCCTTCCCATTTCCCAAGTCAAAGACTCAAGGCATCAAGAACCTGCTCTGCATTTTGATGCAGGCTGCTGTAAGGGCCTCATCCTGGAACAAGCAATGCAATTCTTCATGAGCAGACTTTACGTTACACCGCTCGTTACAATGCAGGATCTTCTGCTATCTCAGAAAGTTCACGTGGATCGTGTTACCTCAGCTGTTTCAAAAGATCACTTGCTCTTCCTCCTCCGTCCCCCAGTCAGTCAGACTTCCCAGGCAGTTGCAAAGGGAACAAGCAACCCTTAAATAATGCAAACAGCCAGAAGTACAGCAATACGTACCCTGAACGTAATGAAAATCTCTTTCTTCCCCACAGGCATCCGAACGGTCTGCCCATCCTCAACGCCTGCAGTCAGGAAAAAAAAGAAAAGAAGGAATGTTACCTTGCATTGTAATTCACGTGTCACTTGAATACCTACAGCTTTCCTCTTCAGATCTCTGCCATCCCCCAAAGCCTGCCCCCACAGCAGCACCCGCACAGCCAGGAGCAGGAGGCACAAGACCCACCAGCGGGCAGCAGCCGTGGCCAAAGGAAGGAGGTGTCAGCACACGTTTATACCTCCGAGGTGATTGCCAGATGCCAAAAAGGCTCGTTGCTTCAATCCCTTACAGAATGCTTTAGGGAAATGCAGGAACACTGTGCAGCCTCCACAAGCTACAAGGAAATTAGCGGCTGCTCACCCAGGGTGATCTCAAAGCAGCAAATCTTCAGCCCCACCATTCATTTTGTCCTCTTTGGTGAGGAAAGCCAACAGCATTCTCTTCTAAGCCAAGCTTTCAGGATTCCCACCCTCCCCCCAAGCTTCATCAAGGACAAACAAAAGACCCAAGGCCAACAAAACCTTGAGTTTCACTCTTCAAAAGCTGCCTAGAGAAGGATCCATGCAAGAACCAAAACCTCAGCCCAGGAAGGGCAAAGCTATTATTTATATCCACAGCCAGAAAGTCCATCTCCTTACTAACCCTTTCCATTACCAAGCTATCAACCTGCTTTGCTCTTAAGGTAACTTCTCTGCAGCAAAACTTCTTACATTGCTCTCGCATTCGTACCGGGCAGGGATCAGCCATGCTGCAGAGGCGAGTGCCCTGCTGTTGGCCAAGTGGAAGCCAAGAACTCTAGTTATTTAACAGAGGGCAGCGCACAGGTACAACACTAACCAGCTGGCACAGGAACCATCACTGTCTTCTTTTGTTTGGTTTGCCCCGTTCCTCGACATACTACGCATGGTGTTGTTATGATGGAACCGCGACCGCCGCACCGTCGGCACGTAGATCGCATTACAAAGGGGCCGGTATTTATCGTCTCCTAGTGAAGAAAAACAGATCGTACAAATATTTGGTACTGAGATGGAACATTTCACTTCCACAAAACACTGCCAGTGACTGGCCCAGCATGTCTGAGTCCCTCGCATGTGCAACCTGACAGGACAGCGACTCCCTTGAGCAAGAAAACTGGCGCAGAAGTCCAAAGAGCATGGCGCTTGTGAGAAGCTGGATCAGACTCCACTGCCATCGTGTTCCCATTTCCACTGAAAACTGTCACTGTGAGCAAACGTGTCATGGTGAGGGGAAGGGAAACACACCGCTTCCCATCCCTAGGCTCTAACGCGCAAGCAGGAACAAAGCTCCTTACAGTGCTATTTCACAAGGAACTACAAACATCTGTATTCTGAGGAATCCAAGGACAATCCACTTGCACGAATTATTGCCAGTGTCCAGGAAAACATTATGGACACTAAGCTATGGACTGAACTGCGAAAGCCACCCGTCGGGTTGAAGCACACAAGGAAACAGTGGGAAGAGCTCGCAGTCTCCTCTGACCAGCTACTCCTGTTTGGCGCAGCAGGGTACTCCGGTCACAGGCTGACTGCCAATACCCATTTTTGATGCCTGGAAATTGAGAAGCCTGAAGTTCAATCGCAGAATCATTGGTTTGGGTTGGCAGGGACCTTTAGAGGCCACCCAGTCCAACCCCCTGCAGGGAGCAGGGACATCTTCACCCAGACCAGGTTGCTCAGAGCCCCGTCCAGCCTGACCTTGGATGTTCCCAGGGATGGGGCATCTCCCACCTCTCTAGGCAACCTGTGCCAGGGCCTCACCACCCTCAGTGTAAAAAACTTCTTCTTTAGGTCTAGTCTGAATCTCCTCTCTTTTAGTTTAAAACCATTGCCTTACTGCTACAGGCACTGCTAAAAAGTCTGTCCCCATCTTTCTTATCAGCCCCCTTTACCAAAAGGCCACAGTCAGGTCTCCCCAGAGCCTTCTCTTCTCCAGGCTGAACCACCCCAACTCTCCCAGCCTGTCCCCATAGCAGAGCTGTTCATTTCTTTACTGCCTGCAAGTAGCGTGCATCTTCTTATATCACGATGACCCTTAGGCTATCACCACCTTCCTCCTCCCTCCACCCTTCAATTCAAAGTATCCCGTTTACTGCCCAAGTAGTTTCAGAGCAGTTACGTTACATAAACACGGTTCGCTGGATGTATGATGCCAGATGACCCAGCCCTGGAGGCCAGTGCTTTTAGCTGGGCAGAGCACTTCTTTAAGACAAAGAAAATCTTCCTAGAGCCTATTAACATCAAGTCCGCGTTAACTCGGCTTCACCCAAGACAAGCTGACGATTGGCAGTGAGAATTTTTCACCACGGAAGGGACCGACTCGCCCCAGCAAGGAAAAGCACAGCAGAACCCGCGTCTTAAAAAAAAAGAAACAAAACCAAAACACTTACCATGCCAGTGCCACTGCAGTAGTGACAGCGCTGCGCTTTGGTACCGGGTTCGTGTCCCTTCCCATTGCATCGCTCGCAGGAGTCGTTGATGTTCACCACAATCTCCTTGTTAACACCTTTTGCAGCTTGGGTGAACGTCAGTTCCATGATGTACTGTACAGGAAACACGGACATCAATCTACAGCTGACGTGCAGCGGGGTCTTAAGCGGGGTGAAATTGGTTTAGGCCAAGTATGAAACGATGCTTAAAATACATCCAGGTAATAGAGGAGGGGGAGAAACGGATGGATGCGCAGCTCATTCAGAAGGGTTCTGCCTCATTTGAGGAAGGAATAATCTGTCTCGCATTAATAAAAAGGGGTACAAAAGGAGGGCAAGCATACGGGAATGATGATTACACCGGTCTGATGAGCCACTGGGCAGCAGAAGTGAGATTTAAATATAGAAAAGAAGGACATAAAAATAGAAGTCAAGTGCTTTTCTGCTCTCGGGAAACCCCTGAAAGTTTTGTTTAACAGGAATGCAGCAACAGGTGAGGGTGAGGGCCGTCAACCCCAGCGACAGTATCCGCTTTTCCTCAAGAAACTCGTTACTTACCAAGGGAAGTCATCAGCAAAGATGACTGCATGAAATAGGGAATTCTGTTTATAATAAAAAGGTCATTTTTAGTAAAGCCAGAAGCACGGAACACCAAGCATTTCCAAAGGCAGCGCATGAACCAACGCTGTTGGCGCTTAAAAGAGCATTTAGCTGCAGTACAAGGAACAAGACGGAGGTTTGGTTTTGTTATGGGCCCCGCTGCAAAGTTAAGCCAATTAAGTTGCAAAATGAAGCCAATTAAGCAGTGGAACCTGATGCCGGAAGGCTTGTTTTACAGTTAAAAGGGATTTTGTGGGTTTTAGCATTACAGATCAAAGCAGACATATATAAATCAACGTACAGCAGAAAAGATGCCTCTGCAACGATGGAATTGTTTGGCAGCGCCAACTGGCGTCGGTAAACACCAGATGAAGTAGCTGAAGTCCAGGAAAAAACCACCGCGTTCTGAAGGCGTGGAGAACCAAAAATACGCTACGTTCCCAGCCGTACAATGGGCCGCTCACGTGCTGGCATCCCCAGAGCAAAGCCTTTGCTCAAGCTCGCTCCCGGAGCGATCTGTGACAGCCCAGTGTCCCTCTCCAGCTTTTGGCTTTTTCATTTCGCACTTTCATTTATCACTCAGAAAATAAACGCGCTCCATACCTCCTGCGGCTGGTCAAAGACGTTCTGAAAATCGCCGAAAGGGGACCCCGAAAACTCGCCGAAGATTTTTCTGAAAAGCTCTTCCGGATCAATGGATGGACCGGTGCTCCAGTACTGCCGCCCAGCGCCAGCACCCGTTGCGCCGGCATCAAAACTCGCCGTGCCGTAGGCATCGTATTGTTTCCGCTTCACTTCATCACTTAATACCTTCGAGGCAAAAGAACGAGGCCATCAGGACACTGTACAGATCCCGAGCAACTGGACAGCCTGCACCTGCGGAGCAGCGTCTCTCGGGAGAATTCAAGGCTGCTGGTGTCACCGCCACAAGCCCACGTTCTCAAACCTTCCGGCCATCGGGGGGGGGGGCTACCCCAGCTCTCAGGAGCGTTCGGATTGCTGACGAGCGTCTTCTTCCCCAGCATCTCTCAGCTCGTCATCAGGAAAATGACAAAACCTTATCAAGTCATCGGGCATAAGCAAGAATAACTTATAGTCGGTGATTAATATATTGCGTGAAAGCTGGTGATAAGAGAGTGCTGGGGTAAATTTGAAAACCCACCAGAGCAAAAATGGGCCCAAAAGAAATTCTGAAGAGGCTGAAAAGCGGGAAGAAACAGGGCTGGGGTGCAGCACAGGGGAAGGTACCTTCGTCTCAAAAAGCTAGGATCTGCTGACAGGGGGGTCCTGTTTATTTAAGCTGATCAATAATTCCACTGCAGCGACCACGGCATCCGTGCCACTCACTCGCTGCTAAGAAAGAGCACAAATTCAAACAGCCCAACGCATATCCAGCTAAATCAGGTATTTGGGCTACACCGTTCCTGGAGACATCGCAGGGACGGAGGCACTCACGCCTGAAGTACAAGACCTGAAAAATTACCCATGGTTCTACAGGAAACGCACACAAGAAATGTTTTGCCCCATCTACCCTCCAATCTTTCCTCCTTTTTGTGACGATAAAATCCTGCATATTACCTCATAGGCTTCTGCCAGCTGGGAGAACTTCTCTTTAGCTTTGGGGTCATCCTTATTTGTATCAGGGTGGTATTTCTTTGCCAGCTAAACAACAAAAAGCAAATTATTAGAGCCAGACAGAAGCGATTCACTTTAGCATCCCACACGTGCCAGGAAAAGCACGTTAGGCGAGGCTCAGTGACCTCTATCTGTATTTTAGGGAACTAAAAGCCTTCGTTTTCCACTATCATCCCAATATATGGAACTACAGAAGCTACTCCTGCATCTCCCAGAAATCCCAGGCCCTTCTGGAAAGAGACCTGGGATGACAGCGCTGGCCGAACACGCTTCGGAAGAGACCCCCAAACCCATGTGCTCGGCCTCCCCGTCGCTGCCTCCCCTTGCCCCCAGCGGGCCCAAACACTGGGCCCAAACACCGCGACCTGGCTGGTTTTGCTCTTTTCCCTCACCACGACCCTTCTGTCCGGCTACGGGCCCTCGGCC